TATGCGTTTGTGTGTGTGTGTATGTGTAGGGGGTGGCCGTACTGCACCAGGCATGACTTTGAATTCGAACTACCAATGTGGAATCCAGCTGCTTTAACCACCATGCTATTAATCTGTGAATAACCCTAAAAGACAGGAAATGCAATGGTCATGTTCACATTTGCTTTTACCATAGCTTTAGATGTTATCAGGGATTCCTGTAGAACCAAAATGTTTTTACATTCCACTAGATGGGTGAAACCCGGGCACACAGCATGTCAGGAAGGCATGCCAGGAAAGCTACATGATCTGGTGTTTATTTAAGGATGATGGAAACTGAGCCCATGTCCAGAGCTAGAAACTGCTCTCAAACTCCTGGGCTGGGGCTCAGGTTCAGCCTCAGGTAAGCAGGTTTCATGCCTCTTTGATTTAAAAATCTGTGGAAGGTTTCAGTTAGCTTTTCTTCTAGCAGAATACTGTTGCCAATAATGTTTCTATTCTAAAAATTCATGTACCCCATGCTAATGTAACAAAGAAAGATGGCAAGTGCTGACTTAAAATGGATTTCCAGAGGGTAGCAATTTAATTTGCTTCATTTTAACTCCTTGCTGGAAATAAGAGGACTCTCAAGTATCAGGAAATTTGGAGAGTACATCTTTATATGGGAATTCTATTAAAAGATAACATTTTATTCAACAAAGCTAGCTAGTAGATAGTCTAAACAACAAGAAGTTAAGGCATAATATTCATAATATTCATGTGTCCCCTTTCCCCAGAGGGCATGTCTACTTAAGGAGAAAAACAAAGTGAGAAAGCATGCTTCATGGGAGATGGTCAAACAGCAGTCTTTTTTCCATCTCGCCTTCCTTTCAGAATTTTGGGTATGCACACACATATGCGTGGTGTATTTTTCAAAGCCTCTGGGTCTGGAATTTACTATATACTTGACCATGTGGGATCTAGCTACTTTAACCACCACACCATGGACTGGCCCAAGGCATTATATTCTTAACATTGTTCTTACCACTTTTTTCCCAGGCTCAGTGGAATTCAAGATTCGGATGAGTTCAAGGTATGGACCAAACAAATTTGGCTTGAGGTTTTTTAATAGTGAAATAGAATTCTTGGCCAAGGATGAAAATTCTAATCTGATTTGCTATGCTTCTGCTCTGATGGGTTAAAGGATTTACCTGAGGCCAACTTGATGTGCAGGAAATTAATAAATGGAGTCACAGGACTCCATTAAAAATTAGGCTTTAGATGAAAGGGAACTAAGGCCTAGTAAATGAGTAATACTTTATTAAGGCGAAGGAAAGTTAGGTTTTTAAGAAAAAATTGTCAGAACACACTTAAATCAACAGTGGTAGTATCCTGGGAGTTCTTATTTGCTTACCTATACAGTTTTAATCAACATTATCTAGACAACATTGTATTATGTGTAAGAGGCTGCTGATCTAATTACCTACTGTACTGTGATATTTCTTTTACAGGTCTGGTGCCCAAGATTGGTATCTGCCCATTTGTGGTAAAATGTGAACCTATCTTCCTTTGGTTGAGATACTACTAAAAAAAAAAAAAAAAAAAAAAAAAAACACTTCACAGACAAAAAAAAAAAAAAAAAAAAAAAAAAAAAACCTTCCAGAAGTTAGCTCACTTTTTAGAAACTTGGTATGTATAATTTCTACACATATAGGCTTTTCCCATAAGTCATTGCAGTGATTGGATTTGACCCTTTTGACAGAAAATAGATGGTGTTAAACTATGACCTTGGTAGGCCTCCATATGCAAAGACTTGGGTCCTTATAAACAAATCACAAACTAACTTTAAAGTCTATTTCCATAATGAATAGTTTAGTCATAGCCAATCACAGCTGGACCATTGTTTAAACTGTTCAAACAAGCTAAAGCCAAGGTGTAACTATTAGATGTCCCCTGAAACAGTTTACAAGATTGAAAGTAGGTGAGAATTCTCTACTGGCAAACAAAACTACAAAAATGTTTCAGACTGTGCTCACAGATGGGCCCATAAGGTCACAATGGCAAGTACCCTAATCAAATGCTCTGCCATTCTTGTGACTCTACTTTTTCCACCCCTCCTATATGAAGACATCACACCTCAGTAGGGTGGACTGAAGTTTTCTCTTCATAACCTGCTGGTCGCTGCCCTGAATAGAGCTTTGCTTGAGAATGGTCACTCCCTGAGTCCTTTGTCAAATCTAACAGTAGCCAGTCCAAATGCTCCTGTACATTGTTATCTGACCACTCAACTATCTGGAGTTAACCTCAGAACCGGTTTCGGGGGGGCTGCTCTGTTTACAAATTATTGCTGAGTTAAACTGCTAAATTTGTCTAAATTTTTTCAACAATGGATTCCTAGAATGAGGAAGGGGCATGAGGGCCTTTAGGGAGTGATTCTGTTCTGTATCTTGATAATGTTACATTTGGCAAATCTCTTATTTAACGAATTTTACTGAATATAAATTTATACTCAATAAATGGCTAAAAATTCACCCCGTTCTGTCATCTTAATGACATTTTTAGTGAAATTAACGGGGAAGTAGTATGGGGTCACCATCAAAAGTCATGACTTCCCAGGCTGTTAAAAGCAAAATATGTTCAGAATCACTTGGGGTAGAAGTAATTTGTGCACACAGAAATACCTGAGAAGGACCAAAAGGTAAATGTATTGGTACACCCATTAAAGATATAAACCATTCTTATTGATGATTTGGGCAAAAATACTACTTGACAGCTACATTTCAAATTCCTCTGGGATGACACTTCCCCTTATTCTCTTTACAATCCATTCTAGGGTCCACAAGGTAGCAAAAATCAAAGTGAGAATTCTGTTAACAAGTGCCATTACTCTTAATTTGTTTCAGCTTCCTTATAGCCTTTCCAAGAAAATTAAGATGGCCTTGGCAGATAACTGACTAGCCAATTCAGGAAAATGAAGTGAGGCTGAGTAATAGGGCTCGGATTGATCTCAGAGCTTGATCATAAACCACATGGTTCACATCTATGAAAGACTGCCCTTGAAGAACAAGTCTGTGAACTCTTTTACCCCTGGAAATAGTTGAGAGTGTTTTTGGAAGAAGGGCTGGGTTCAAAGATTGGTTGAGTCAACATTCCTTCCAATAGGTAACAAGTCCAACCACAAGGCTGGTTGAGTCTTGCCCCAGAGACCAAGGGCATTGAGCTGAGTTGTGCCAACTTGCCTGGATGAGCAAAGAAAGCCCTTCAGATGCCCCTTATAATTTTAGTTTGATCCTTTTGTTACTGCAACCCCCCTCCCCAGCTACACCATCAAATCCCCTTTCTTATACCCTAGCAATACAGAATTGTCCAGAACTGTGATTCAAAATTCTGGTGTAGCATTTTCAATGGATGGGATGAGGGTGCAGTGAGTATCACGTTTCTGCAGAATCAACTTGTGCACTGTGGTGCTGTGCTTCTCCGTGTGCCTAGCACAGCTAAGCAGAAATGGAAAGATGCCAGTATGACTCCAGACCATTTTGTGCTAAAGCACCCTGAAGGGAAACGAAGCAAGGACTAATTCTATGTGAGGAACTTAGACATGAAGAGAGTCTTTAGTTATGACTAAAATAAACTGACTAATGTTTAAGCGAATGCTTATGAGTTTATTGAAGATCTAAGTCCTATTTAAGAAAGCCCATCATGGGACCAGCAGGTTGTATGCTTATACCACTGGGCTCCCACATGGCCAACTCCAGTCTGAGTCACGTACCTGGCAGCTTGCTTTCTCACTTGCTCTTTTCTCTTTCTGCCTGTTTTTTTATGATGAATGTGTGTGCCCTATATCAAGTAATAATGATAAATAAGATTAAGTAATTTATGACAAAATAAAAAATCAGTCACTAACTTCAGATGGAATGACAGTTTGCCCACAGTCACAGCTATGGTGTTGATGAGTCAGTTCAGATAGCCACATAATTTGATTTTGAGAATGGGCATATTCCAGTTTGAGGTACTCTATAGTGTTCTAAACCCTTGAGTACAAATTGATTTTGATTCTTAAAGCAAATCTTTACAGATCAAGTAAATATTCTAGGCTAAAATATGTGTGGTTTTAAGGGCCCTTAACCTTAAACATTTAATGATAAAATTTGGCAAATATTTACTGTACTCTTACTGGGTTAAGTCCTGTGACAGATGATTCCTACCTATATGGAGCTTACACTGTGTGACATCCAGCTCCTTAGAATGTGCTGCAGTTGATTTTGTTATAAAGGATAATTGCATTTAGTACCTGGGTCAATATCTAAAAGGTTCAATTGTCAGGACAAACTACTAGGAGACTACTATGTCTATTTATAGCCTACAACTACATGCCATAAATGATTTTGGATGGCTTATAAACAAATATCGAACAATACCATAATTAGAAGAGGAAAAACTCAGTGAGAAGAGATCAGAAACATAAAACTCCACCATTAGACCTCATGCTGTAGGCTCTAGCCAATTTGGCTCTGAGATTCCTAAGAGCAAAGAACCAACAGGTATAGTATTAAACCAGCAACTGAATATAACTGAAGTGTGTGGGTGGCGGTGGAGGGGGGGAAGGAAGATGGTGGTGGACATTTGTATTCTAAGCTCCCTGAATCCACTGAGAAGATCCCTTTTCCCCTTCATGACCTCAAATACTTTGAAGGGAGAAGCAGAACAAAGCTATCTGGATAACTAGACCAGGATCTTAAAAAAGGTGCAATTGACTACTACAGGAAAGTCAGCGGACCTGTGAGCCTGAGCCCACTCAGCTGATTGTCAAGCCAAAGGAACTGGTAACACCTCTTGAGAGGCAAGTCATGCTCAGAGTATGTAAACGGATGAACAGCCGGAGATGTGTTTGAGAGATAGATTTTTATTTTGTAGTCATAAAATTGCCTTTTACAATTTTACCTTGTATTCATAAGCTGCAAAATTCTAATTCCAATAATTTGCTATAAAATTTGTGATTTATCACAGTCTGAAATTATGCAACCAGGACTAGATGGCCCCCTAGTGGAGTTTGTCTGTTCTGCAAGGGGCCAATTGTCTTGAGCCCTCCATCACAGCCATCTGCATTTCCAGGACAACCGAACATCAATCTGTTTTGGAAACAAAGAAATAAAATCCATTCACGTCAGTTTGATGCGTGTCACCTTAATTAATTCTGAGAACAGAACACAATATTGTGTTGTGGAGCCTAGAACCATTGATTTTCAGTTAGATGCCCTGGCTGTTACCCCAACTCTTTAAGGCAAAAGAGTCACTATATTACTTACAGGTCTCCCATAATGGGAGAATGTGTGGGGCTTTGAGGATCATCACAGAGTCTAAAACTACTCCAATATGGTAGCCACTGGTCACCTGTGGCTACTGAGCTTTTGAAATGTGGCTCATGCAAACTGATGTGTAAAAAACATCAGATGTGGGGCCAGCAGGTGGTGTGGTTAAGATGCTGTACTTCCACATGGCCATCCCTAGTTTGAGTCGCAGACCTGGCAGCTTGCTTCCTCACTTTCTCTGGTGAGCATATGTGCCCTCTAACAAATTTTTTAAAATAATAATGATAAATGAAATTTTTAAAAATCAGATGTGAAGAATTGATAACAGATGTAAAACATCTCAATTTTATATTGATTGCAAGTTAAATGATATGCTGGATAAATTGGGTTAAATGAAATACATTTTTATAGCTCATTTGAATTTATATTTTCCTGATATTCAATGGAGATCTTTTTTTTGAGAAAAGTCCATTCTTTTTTGTTGTTACATTTAAAGTGTACAATTCAACAGTTTCCATTATAGTCACAGATATGTGTAGTCATTACCATCACCACAGTAAATTCAGGTTTTTAACACCTCAAAAAAGAAAACCCTACCCACCCTCTAGCTATCACTGCCTATCACCAACCCTAAATACCTATTAATCTACTTTCTTTTTTCTTCCTGTCTGAAAGTAGCTTATTGATGGGACCAACAGTTAGCGTAATGGCTATGTCGCTGGACTCCCACGTAGTCGACTGTGGTTCGAGTCCCGGACCCCGTGGCTTAAACTCACCGGGCGCGTGTGCGTGCGTGCCCAAGATCCCGAGAGGAGAAGGGATTGTGGGCATGGCCATACCCCCTGGGGTGATTTCTTACTTTCTGTCTCTGTTTCTCTGTCTGGCAAGTGCACATGCTCTATAGCAAACACCTCTCCTAAAAAAAAAAAAAAAATGAAAATAGCTTATTGATAGCTTGGGTCTTGCTCTAAAAAAAAATTAAATTCAGTATCCTGAAGCAATAGAAAATAGATTGTAAATTCCTGAACACCAATGACCAATGCTATTCTGTTTGTTTGTTTTTTTTTTAAACAGTGTAATTGTGATTTGCATTATATTTCTGCCTGACAGAACTGGGCTAAAACACAAGTCAAAATAATTATGGAAATATCCAAATAGTGGCCCACAATCCAATAGAAAGATGTCCCATTACATATGACATTGAGTGAAAGAATGAGTAAAATTACAACATAAAATGCAGAATTTAGTGACTGGGTGGCAAAGCAGTATCACTCCAGTGATGCTGGATATATATATATATATATATATATATATCCAAGATCAGAGGTTCAGTTCCCTGGTCAACCTGTACATACCAGGTGTATGTGCCTGTAATCCTGGCAGGGGAAGTCAGCATAGACTATTGAGGGTGCTTGTCTTTCCCTCTGTCATGCTCAAGAAAGAACTTGAGACTGGTGGGTGGTATGGTGGTTAAGGCGCTAGACTCCCACATCAACTGGTTAGTGTCCTGGACCTGACGTCTTGTTTTCTCATGTTCCCTTTCTCTCTCTAGTCAAAATTTTAAAAATAATAAATAAAATAAATAATTATTTCTTAAAAGAAATGTGTAACAAATGTGGAACTTACAGGTAAGCAACTACTGTTTCAAGGACAGAAATTGCAGAGATAGGAAGCCAGTACTACTTAGAAGATATGACATAAATTCTATACTTAATCTTGTAGTACTTCTAGAAGTTTTAAATAAAAGACTTCAGAATGTATTTATTAGATATTCCCTTGCCCTATCCTACTATGCACAAGCAGGTGTGTGTTTACTGGAGTTAATCAAGGGCCAAAGGACTCCTGCCACATCTCATCACAATTCAACTTCCTTAATTAAGAATCCAGATAAAGAATAGTTCTGGTTTTCCAACCTGGTTGGTCTGCTGTAGGATGTGTGAGCATGTTTAGTAGTCTTTCAAAGTTTTTTATGGGAAGGGAGAGGCTGCAAAATGGAATACTATAAATATCCCCCAAACTTGTATAAAATACTCTTTTTTAAGCAAAATTTTCCACAAAGTTCTCACCTTCCCTTGTTTTCTCTAAAGAGTAGGTCTGTAACATTTTCTTTTGTTGCTTCCTCCCTACTAATAATATCTTTTGTCTTTTTGTTTTTAATGTAAATGAATTTTTCCTTTACTTTTTATACTTCTCATAAGTAGTGATTCTTTTTTTTTTTTTCAGGAGATTTTTGCTATAGGGCGTGTGTGCTTGCCGGAGAGACAGAGACAGAAAGCAAGAAATCTCCCCTCAAAGAGATGGCCACACAGTAATTCCTTCTCCTCCATTCTCCTTGTAGGACTTTGGACATACACACACACACATGCTCCTGGTGTGAGTTTTAAGCCACCAGGTCTGGGACTCCAATCATGGTCAACCACATGGGAGTCCAGCAGCATAAACATTACACCATCTGCAGGGACCAGCAGTTAGCGTAATGGCTATGTCGCTGGACTCCCACGTAGTCGACTGAGGTTCGCATCCCGAACCCGGTGGCTTAAAAATCACGCTGGGTGCGTGTGCGTGTGTTCCTAAGATCCCGAGAGGAGAATGGAGGAGAAGGGATTGCGGCGTGGCCAACGCCCCTGGGGGGTGATTTCTCGCTTTCTGTCTCTCTATCTCTCTCTGTCTGTCTGGCAAGTGCACGTGCCCTATAGCAAAAACCTCTCCAAAAACTAGAAATAGAAAATTACTAACAATAACATGTACGATTAAGCCACTATGCAGTATATTCTGGGTGGGAAATGACATTTTGTATGCTGTGAGGATGCTCAGGAAATGAATGTGAATTTTTTAAAGTTTCAGAAAATGAATAAATAAATAAAAACATTACACCATTTTCTTGTCCCAAGTAGTAGTTCTTAATGGGAGTGGTTTTCTAACCTAGTTGGTCTGCTATAGGGTGTGTGAACATGGGAGCAAAAGAAAATTTATCCCCCTCGGGGACATTTGATAATGTCTGGAGACATTTGATTGTCACAACTGGATGGGTGTATAGGGGGTTGCTACAAGCATCAAGTAAAAAGACGCCAGAGGTGCTGCTTTGAAATATTCTTCAATGCACAGAACAGCATCTGTGACAAAAAATGATCAGGATCAGCAGGCCAGTGGTAAGAGGCTGAGAAACTCTTGTAGAAAATGTCATCCCTACCAATGTCCCTCTGCTAAGGTGCTACGGAGAAAGCTACAAGTTACTCCCAAAATGCAACTTCTTCATGGACAGAAAGGCTTTCTGCACTGTGAGATCCAAAGGGCCTTATTGCTAGCACTATTGTTTTCCTAAGTAGAACTTACATATAATGGCATTTATAATATAGTAATTCATTATTTCTTCAAGCCAAAAGATATGAGGATTTTCTTCCAGCCTCCCCCAAAACCTAGTGTTAGTGTTGGTTGTTTATAAGATACGAGAAACTTAGAATTTGCTCATCACACACTACTGGCATTTTTTTTTTTTTTTTTGATAAGATGTTTGCTATAGGGTGTATGTGCTCACCAGAGAGACTCAGAGAAACAGAAAGAGAGAAATCACTCACTGGGGGAATGGCCATACTGCAATCCCTTCTCCTCTTGGGATTCTGGGCATGCATGCACACACACCCTGCAATCCTGCAATGAGTTTTAAATCACCAGGGCTGGGATGCAAATCATGGTTGAGTATGTGAGAGTCCAGCAACATAACCATCACACCATATGCTGGTCCCCCTAGTGGTGTTCTTAATCAGAGTTGATGTTAGGTGATAGCTGGATCACTGAGGAGAAGCTTGCCCAAGTCAGCTGAGGGACTGCCAGGTCTCGGCCTGGCCCCAGCATCCATAATACCAAGATTGTTCTGATTTGTTTTTCCAACCCATAGCTTCAGCCCTTATCAGAGCCACTTAGCTCATCAAAAGAACACTCACAAACTATCAGAAGAGCACAAAACCCACACCCAGAGAATTGAAACCAAATATCATTGAGTACATTCTATCTCTGTAATGTTACCATTAACCAGAATATTCTGATTTTAGAACCTAAAGAATATTAAAAACCTGAGCAGTCAGAGGGTCTGCCTACCTCTCAGGTTAAAGGTGACCAAGAGCCCTTCCTCGCTGTCTTCTTCACCGGAGCATTTTTAATCTTACACTTCCTTGCGTAAACAAAATACAGCACATGCCCAGTGGTTACAAATAGTATGGAGATGAAGACCAGCACGCCAAATTGCTGCGGCCGTGGGGCCAGCATGACGAGAACAAAGTGGATGAGGTCCATGAGGTAGTTCAGGGAGCACTGCACACCATTCACAGCCCCACGCTCAGCTTCTGGAATGTTCTCCTGAAGAAGCTGGGTCACAGTGAGGTCAAAGGACCAGAGGCCTGCAGGGCAGCAGTGT